ATCTATTGGTGGGGAGCATCACCTGCTGGAAAACGGGTCCAGCGTCCCTTATACAGAAAATAACGATATCTGAGAACAGTTATTGTGAGACCTGCCAGCATTGATTGCCCTGTCTCCAGGGGATTTACTGAGCAGGTATACCTCTGAACTACATCTAAGATACCATTGTCACCCAATTGTAGAGTTGATCCTGCCGGCATTGATTACCCTGGGATCTGAGGGATCCAGGGAATTGACTTCACAGTATTGGGGGGGGACCTCTTCACCCTGGGTCCGGCGCCAGATACACAGCTACGCACTGGTTCCTCCCCTCAAACTGTGTCAGGACCTTGCTAGCCGGGAACAGGGTGATCCGGAGGGCGCCACTGGGGGGCACCAGTGGAACCTCCTTACTTCACCCTGTTTCTCACGGTGTTGAGACCATTCTTCAGTCAAATGCTGTAATCAGCGAGAGCGGGTGAGGAGGGAAAGGATCTGGGAAGTCTGACGGGGGGCGGAGGGGGAAGGATGGTTCGATAGTTGTCCACTCGTTGAAGATCAAACAGTAATTTCTACATTCTACCAACTCCAGGTGCTGCTGATCTTCCTTGTTGCCGTCCCACTCAATCCTCGCTACCCATCCACCTCCCTCCCCTCCTAACCAGTCCCCTTGGAAGGACGAGATTGCCTTCTTTATGTCTTTATTCGTCTGAAAGCAGTCCAGCTGGCGTTTTAAAGTTTGCCATCTTCTCATTAGTTCCATCTGGAACTGTTGTTGGATCTGCTCTGTTCCACTTCTTAACTCGGTAATTTTGATCGTTTTTGGGCTTGTTTGACAGGTTGGCAGCACATAAGCAAACTGGACGTACACGAAATGTGAAAATACAAAGTGCACTCGAAAGAAGTTTGAGAGAAGCTTGAAGGCAAAATCCAGCATCTGCTGAGGGGCCCGCGTTTCACGTGCATTTTCTGTGACAGGCTGCTTCATCTGGGTAGCGAGGGAGATCATGAAACTTGAGAAGGACGTCGAGGGACAATTACTTTCACTACGTCTGTGGATCACTGTTTGACTGGGGTGTTCTTCGCCGTCACCTGCACATGGTGAGGTTACCCGTGGGCAGATCGACTCGTTGATTGAGTGACGGGTATTTGCTTCAAACTCATCCTGTGTGTAATCAGCTTGCTGGATTTCTCGTGTTGTTTTTTACCATATGTCTTGTTCTCACTCTGACGCTTCACTAGGCAGCTCACACACACAGTGTCACTCTTTCTCAGCGACATGAAGATAGACTGACAGACCCACAGATAGATCAATAGACAGATAGATACTAGATAGATAGATAGATAGATAGATAGATAGATA